TATAAGTGCAGATTGTAAACATAAACAGGGGGTGGCAGAGGACATTGATCTGGTCCCTGCAGGAATCTAGGGTTGCAGCTTGAGGCAGCTCACTTTGAAGTTTGCTGTTTCATCTTACTAGTAGGTTAAGAGAGAGCACTGAAGTAATCAGTTTTCAAAGGAGGGGATTAGTCAATAAAGTTATCATACATATATTTATGTATATGTGCATATATAGTCACATCAAGTTGTAGAAACACGTTTAATGACACAGGAAACTGTTTATGATGTGGTAAATGAAATAAGCAGATTATAAGATGTACATACAAATGGCTCTTAAATTATGACAAGATGTCCAACCCCATCCTAGGAAGAGAAATGCACATTTTAATTATAATGAGACATCATTTTTTCCCCATCAGATGGGCAATAAGCTCAAAACTTGACAATATACTCTTTTGGTGAGGCTGTGGAGAACCAGAGACTCTGAAACATTGCTGGTGGGAATGCAAGTCAGTACAATCCCACACGGATGGCAAATATCACAATTAAAATGGCATATCTCTTTGACTCAGCAATTCCACTTTTGGGATTTTTATGCTACAGATAGCCTTGCATGATTATGTACAGGTTATTTATGGCGGCTCTCTAATTGCAAAAGTCTGGAGACAATCCAAAGTCCATCAAGAGAGACTGGTTAAATAACATGGTACATTCACAATATGGAATACTGTGTAGCTGAAAAGAAGAGTAGAGAGGCTCTTTATGAATTGATATGAAAAGATCTCCAAGACATATTAAGTTTAAAAAAACAGGGTACTGAACAGTGTGCATAAAAAGCTATGTTTTGTGTTCCAAAAGGGGAAACAATCTACGTTTGTGTTGACTTATAAATATATATATATATGTCACTGCAAAAGAAACTAAAAACAATATTTCCCCAGAGATGGAATCAGAGACTAGAAGGATATCCATTCAAATGTTAGAGCCTTTTGTAAATGGCAGTAATATAGGTGATTAAGGAAATTATAGGAATTTTCACCATACTCCATAATATTTTCATATTTTTAAATGAAAAATAAAGTTTTAAATGACTTTCCAGGAGGATGAACCAAGTGTATCTGCAGCCTTCTGTAGCCCGGAAATCATGCTTACAAGTAGACCAGCAAAGGGAGAGGGCTGTGGGGACTGCATGGGCCCTGTTCTCTGGTTAACATTCGTCACGTTTCTCCAGGGACAAGCATTTGTCCTAGATCCCCTTAGATCAGCTGTGAATATTCCAGGGGGGCTGAAGCATAGGAGTGAGCAAGGCGAAATAAAGAGTCAAGTAAACATAAGAAGGAAGTGGGGCCCGTCCACACTTGGGCCTATTCAGAGCTGAGTACTTATGAATATGTCATCCCGGCAAAGCCCCTCACCTCAGAAGATAATTTCTTATGGAGAAACTTTGGGGGTTATCCCAAGGAAAGCAGTTTCTTGAGCACTTGTTACAGCAAAAACCTTTAAATGCTGTTTAATTTTGAGTTAAAAAAAGAAACATACATTCCAGAAAAGGTATAAATCAATTACCTGGGATTATGAGTAATTTTTAAGGAAACTCTTATATGCTACTACCACTGTCCTCAAGAAATAGAATAATGCCATCCCCTCAGAAGCATCTCTAAGTGTCCCTTCTTCACTTCATCTTAGCCAAAAGGCCGAGAAGTGAGTAATCTTGATCACACCTTATTCCCTCTCGGTTTGGGGCATTAGGAACAATGGTGATATGAACATTATCTTGGATGCATTTGGGTATGTACACGCATGAGATTTTCTAGGGTAATTATACCTGAGTGAAATTGCAAGATTACAGGATAGGAATACCTTCTTCTTTTCTAGATACTACAAATATTTTCCAACGTGATTTTATCAATGTATACTTCTTCTAGAAGTCTACAAAGGACATTATTGTTCCACATCTTTGCCAAAAGTTCTAAATACTTAATTTAGTCAGACTTGGTAACATTTGCTAGTCTAATGAGTGTGCAATAAAGTCTCATTATAGTTTTAATTTGCATTTCACTGACGAATGAAGTTGTGTGTCTCCTCATATATTAATTGGTCATTTGGATATTTCCTTTTGTGAGCTGCATGTTCAAAATTTCTGCCTATTTTTTTTTATTGGATTGTCTTTTCTTAACAGTGCTTAATTTAATCCATGTATTAATAACGAGTCTGAATGATGAATGACCAGGATTGGAGGTTCACCTTGCAGCCAGAAGGCAAACCCAGCAATCTAAGATTTTTCACAAAATCTTTTTAGGTAATTAGCTGGCACAAATTAGTCATCAGACAAATTGCGCCTAAGCATCTGCCTTCCACACAATCTGCTGCCAGTCATCTGTCTGTGTACCCAGATCAATGAATGATGCTAAGGACAGTAGTTAACATACACCAGACTCTTACCATGTACATGACACTGGGTTAAGCACGTACCTTATTGACTTCTCTTAATATCCTTATGTGGAATGTACATTAGGCTTCGAGGCTTAAATAACTTACCCATTATGACTCAACTAGACAGTGATGTGGCTGGAGATGATCCCGCATCTAACTCCACAGTTCATGTTCTTATCCTAATTATTACACTGCCTCAAAATAGCTTCCTTCTGATTTCAAATTTAGGATTATTATGTACTGTGGAAATGGCAGTCAATTCTAGAAGAAGAGAGTATAATTAAGTACTTAGTTTAGAGTTGGTAAATTTTAAATTCCCTAAAAATATATCGTAATGCATTACGAAGGATACTGACAGAAAATAGGTTTACGTAAAGCTTAGTATGCACTTAACATTTGCATCACAGCTCATATGTGAACGGCAAAGATGGACTCTTTCACCTTACTACTGCATCCACAAACATTTTATACATCAGATGCTCTGAATCCAGACTTATTTTTTAGGTTAGAATCATGAAATTAACAATGATGGCAAACCTAACCTTGCATCCAGTAGCAGCTCCCCAAATTCTCAAAGCAAAGAGGTCAGACAACCCAACACGTGTTGAGTCTCAAAGGGGCTTTCTAGTTATTGATAAGCAGCAAAGCATTAATAAAACAGCAAAACGTTCAAAAATTAAACACTACTGTTTCTTGGACAAGACCCCAGAGATGGGTGGGAAAATGAACCTTTATTTCCCTGCTAAACTTTGAATTTGTTGGAAGATAAAAGAACTGTGAATATTTTGAAACAAAAGTTGTGGGAAGGGGACCAGACTTTGAAAAGATCACGAGAATTAAGAACTAAGCTACCATCTGTGAAGTCAGGGCGTTTTCTATAACGAACTTTAATTCAGAGGGCGCTTTTCTTTTTTTTCCCCTTTTGAGGGAACCTTCCTGCTTTAACATGTTCATGGGTCCTGTACGGCTTGTAAAGCTATGTTCTTTCTCCCGCTGAGATCCTGCTCAGGCATGTAGTTTCATTTGAAAGAATAATTTTCAATGTCTCCTTCTAGGCTGAGCATTCATCCCCCCACTGCTTGATTGATTGAATCCCACAGTCTGTGTCTGGAAGGCGAAGTCTGAGCTTTATGTATTGCTTTCTGGCAAGCCATATTGCCACGCTCCATGGAACGGATGCAGCAGGATAACTGTGTGCAACAGGCTTTCAGACCCTCGGATCTAGGGGGCTGCCAGGTATAGCGTCTCATTTTACCACTTAATAAGTTTAAAGGCCTGTAACGATTACATTGCTATCTGATGAATCTGTTTCAATAACAATATCTTACATCTTGCATGGCTTTTAATAGCTTACAAGGTGAGGGTACCTTATCTTGTTTGCTCTTCACAACAATTGTTTATGGGAAGCAGTGCTTTATCATCTCCCATTTTAACAACAAGAAGAGACTGTGATCTTTGCCCAGCGTCACATAGCTACTAATTGGCAGTCTTGTCATTAAAACCCGGATCTTCTTATTCTAACACGTGTTCTTTTATGATTCTCATAATAAACCCAAGACTGGAGAACTATAGAGGACTTTCAAAAGGACCCACATCATCAAAGTGCTCTCAGTCCAGAAAACTGATGGTAATATAAATGTCACATTGCTGCTCACTTGAGCAGAACAAAACAAAGAATAAGCCATTTCATTGTTGCCTTTAGGATAAGAAGTCTTGGAGAAAATCGCTGGGATAGCTTTGAAAAACCCTAAATGTGATCAGTCAGGCCCCTGGAAGATAAGCAGGCCTGCCCTGTAGGAGACTTGTAATTTATAAGGTCTCAGTGTGCTGGCTTTGCCTTCCCATGCATTTTTTATGTGTACGTCTCATTTTTCCAACTGTAAAATCCTGGAAGGTAGCTGTTTTGGTTTGTTTTTTTCCCAGAGGCAGATCCCGAGATAAAGATTCAAGTGCTAGTGACTTATTTGAGAGGAGAAAGGAACACCAGTAGGGAGTGGGGCAGTGGCACAGGGAAGGGAAAGTGGCCACCAAAGTGTGTGTCATCAAGCCAGCTGCCACCAGAGTGAGCGAAACTTAATACCAAAAGGAAACCCTGGGCACAGTGCAAAACACACACCTCAGAGACAGCACCCCTAAGGGGTGAGGAAGTTGGGGTGTTCCTACGCCATCTCCCATCAGTGGTTGTTGAGAGCTGCTGGGAGTGGGGGTAACACACCCACCCTCCGAGATACTGTGCAAGAGGACCCAGTGGCATTCTGTAGCTTAGGAAAAAGTTACTAAGCAGAAAATTGCAGACACTGGCAGGGCAAAGTGGCTGGTAAAAGGCAGGAGGGATACGGAAGAGCCCCCAAATAGAGTACTATAACAGGATCCAGGTCTTAAGGTTTTAAAATTTTCATTCAAAGCCCAAAATTATATTTGGGACATAATCGTCCCCTGATAACTATGGACACATCAACCTGATACCAGAGCGGTTGTGAGGAACGCTTCCAGATACACATTAAACCCTAACCAACAAAAGACTGTGGAAAGAAAGAAGAGAGAAGAAAGAGCACAGAAGGCACCCAGGAGTCGTCTGTACTTACACTTTCTCGTAAACCTTGTTGGGATGTTCCGGCCATTTGATCATGCACACCACTCTGTTGGGAAAGGTCTCTGTGGTGGAGTAGTAGCCCTGGGGGAAGGCCAGCAGGAGAGCCAGGACCCAGATGACACAGATGACCCCTTTGGTGGCTGTGGCCGACAGCCGGGGCTGGAGGGGATGGATGATGGCCATGTATCTGGAGCAGAGAAGAAAGGACAAAGTTCCCATTTGGTCACCAAAATCTGCATTAGCGATTATGCATTGTTCCTGCCAATGAAAAATTTCCAGAAACCCTTTGATCCCTGGTGATTTTTACTACTTTCTGATCCCTTTCCCATACTCTATCCTTAAGCTTTTATGACTTTTACAACATAAAATGCTAAAATCCATGAGAAAAGTCAGCCAGATTTTAATATTTTAGAACCCATTTAGCAACATCTCAGGAGAGGTTTTCATCATTGGAACACTCATGGTGGGGACATGATGCCCCCATATGTCAGTGGTTTACAGTGAAATTAGAAAAATAAGGACAATGTTATAAATTTACTCAAGATAAAGATTATCTTTATCCTTTTTGGATTAAGGAATAATGGTGATAGAAACAGTAGTTTTTAAAGTCCTCATGTGGTAAATTAAAAGGCTAGCAATCCTACAGGATTCCATACAATTTGAGGGGACTGTGTATGTATGAAAAAGCAGTGGCCTAAAGGCAGCAAAAAAACAACAACTCCTGGAGAAATCTTCATCAATTCTTTGAACATCTGGAAGTCAGTGTGTGACTAACAACACAGGCTTAGTGAAGAGAAAGACAGTCTCCACCTGTTGAGACAGACACACTCGAGCATATCAAAGAGCGGAGGGGGTGAAACCCCGTTGCAGGAAGGGGGACGCAAAGAGAATGATGAGTTGGGGCCAGGAGCCGTTCCTCCTCCTCTCACCTGGGATTTGAATGGCTGTCCATTCGTCAAATCTGTGTGCCGCCTCTGAGATGCAGCAGAGATTTTAGGGAGAATGAATATTCCAATCAGCATTTCATATCAATTACAATCACATCAATTTTGCCTCCTTCATTTTAACAGTGATCTCCCTTTGTGTATTTTTCTTGCAAAGTTTGTGAATCCATCCCTTAAAATATGCATTTTTTTTTCAGAGTAGGGATTATGTCTTATGCCGCCTTTGGGGTTTAAATATTATCTGACAGAACCTCAGAATCACGCATTTGACTCTCTGACATGCAGGTATTTCTGGCTTCCATGAGACAGCATGCTCAATGGAGACTTCAGAAATGAGCAGACAAATAGCACAGCTGTCAGCTGGCTCCACGTAATTCCACATAATTCTTTCTCTACATTCTTTGGACTCCTAGGATCTCTAGGCCAGAACTGGGGCCAGGGTTACAAGTAAAGCAATTTCATTCAGAACGCGCTCTACAAATTTGCACTGAGCACCTGCTGCACGCAGAACACAGCGTTTACTTCTGGGCTCTCAGCTTCTAATTTCTCCAGGGAGAGAAGGCGCATAAATAAGCAGTCACAAAACAAGACAGTAGGATGTGTGACCTCAAGTGGTAATCTCACAAAAATGCTTTAGAGCCTTAGGGAGGCTGCAGAGGTAATCAGAGCTTGGAATGGCAGGTGGACTATTGGAGGGGTTTAAAGAGGTGTGCTTAGCTGGATTTGGGGTGGGCCTGCTGAGCATCCAGCTTGAAGGGCAGAAAGCATTCAGAGCCTTCCTCCTTTCTCCAAGATATGATTAGATTTGACTCTGTCCTGGAAACTTGATGGCTCCGTTTTCCTGAAGGCTTCTTTAGTATCCTTTTATTATCCTAAACTTTAGAATATCTTTCTTCACAGTTTCTTGCTAGGGACATAGGCTTTCTTCTCTGGTCTCTAAGAGTGCTGCCACTGCAGGTGTTCCATGGAGGCTGGATATTAAGATGCCTCAGATCAACATTTACATATATGATCAGAGGTGATGATAATCCCCAGGCAGAAAAGCCCCAGAATCTTTTCCTTCCACTTCTTTGAGAAAGTGGGTAAGTGGTCTTGAAGTCAGGAGAAAGTGGAATTAGGAAGAGACTTGGAAGAGATGCATGGTAGGGGTGCGTAGTAATCTATAAATCTTTGGGCGAGTTTCCCTGGCTGAGTTGGTGGCTATAAAGCCTATCATTCAATTGTGGTTTGCAGAGAACCAAAAGGGCAAAGACAACTCTCAAGATTCAGTGAATCAAGCGTAGCCTGTCCTCTTTAGGTTACCCCAAGGGGCCACAGCTACTTCCAAGGGAGGCCCAGTACACCATAGAGCTGATGACCTTCCATTCCTGGGGCGGTCTCCTAAAAAGAACCCTGAGAAGTCTTGATTTCTCTCCTGGATCTGCCTCTTTCTTGCTGCCTGAAAGTGATGAAGTGCTGGTTTCCTCTTTAGTTATGGGTTGGTGCTGGATGGGGAACCCAGAATCAGAGCCAATGGTGGTGGATGTAACCACTATTGTTGTCTTCTTTCCAGTTTGGTGAAGGGCTGGGCCTGGATGGTCATGGTCAGAATCTATTTGAGTGTTTGCATTAAAATTGTAGGATTGCTTATTGGATCATTTCCCAGAGGCAAGAGCTTTCCACTACAAGGCTGGCTACATAGCCATGAAGATGGCTTTCCTTTCCAGTACCACTCAGCCTCCTGTTTTCTCTGTGGCTGTGCATTCTCAGACTTCGCAGGAGCTTGAAGAGGCTGCATGAGGAAGAAGCTGGTAATTACCTTGCCCCTTTAATATCTCAGACAAAAGATTTTAATTTACTTTTAACTTAGGCTAAACGCTCAATCTTAAATAAATGTACCCTAACACCCATCTCCGTGCCCAAATTGGTGATACACCATTCCAAATCTAATGTAACTGGGGCATCAACATATTGGTGCTGTAACTCCAAATGGGTGGCAGAAAGCCATATTTTATCTTTATTGCAAAAATTGCAATTTGGAAGCCCATTTCAGTTAACTCTCTGCCGTTTCATGAGTGTAGGAGCCATTTCAGTGACAGATGAAAGTATTACGCACACAAAGCCAGAGAGAATAAAAGAGATTTGCTTAAAAAATGTATATATTTTCATTTGTCCAAAATAGAGCCACTTATAAATCTCTCTCCCTTTCTTTCTTCTTTCTCTCTCCTGCAGTCCTCACTTCTGTGGCTTGTGTGACATGCTTCTTTCTTATTCACCCCAAATCTAGTACCTCTCTGATGACTTGTCCACAGACGGATGCATCTTTTCTTTCCTACTATCTATTTGTAGCTTGGATTCCATTAACATACATTTATATATTTATTTGTAGCCAACCTGAACAATTCTTGCTTATTTGGCTATGTTATCATTGAGCCAGTGCTGCAAGCCTTAGGAAAATATATTCAATAAATATTTATTGACTGCATTGTGCTCACGGGATGAGAAGGCAGTCAATGAAACATCTTTCTAGTTCACGCATTAATCAACAGGCTGCCAGAGTCAGGGGTCTGGAGACTGTGTGGGATTGTGGATTATGTTCTCCATTTGAGGTTGTTCCAGTTCCACAGAGAGCCATTAGTTCTGATTTTAATTGTATGTGGCCTCCCAGCTGCAAAACCTGAGGGGCCATCTTCCTCTTGCATGTTTATGCTTTATAAAAAGAACTCTTCATATAGTCCCTTAAATCTGTCAAAAAATAAGGCTGCACATTTTTTTAAAAAAGGTAGAGTGAAACAATCCTATTGTGAAAAAAAATTCCAATCTTGGGACAAGCTGCAGTGTCCTCATAACTTCCTCCCATACCAGCCCTAAATCATCTGGCAGAGAGGATGTCTTTCCTCTGCCAGGAGATCTGATCTATCGGGCCCTTCTTTGCAGTCTTTCCCCTCCATGTCCAGTCTCTGCCCTCCCTTATCCCCACTCACTTCCTCCTGGGATGGTACAAGTTTCCTTTAAGGGACCACGTCTTCCTGGGTTCAAACGACCAGGAGGGATGACAGCTGAGAGCAGGGCTTCAATAGCCCAGTTCAAGAGTCAGCAAATTTTTTCTGTAAAGGGCCAGATAGTAAATATTTTAATTTTTGGTGCCCCGTACAGCTTCTGTTGTAACTACTTAACTCTGTCCTTATAGTGTGAAAGCAGCCACAGACAAGGCAACTATTGGGCATGACTTTGTGCCTATAAAATTTTGTTTACTAAACTGGTGGGGGCTAGACTTGGCCCCTGGGTCACCGTTTGCTGACCTTTGGTCTAGTTTATGGGAAGTGAAGAGCAGGAGGAATTCGAACCATAGAACAGTGTGCACTCTTCAGAAACATTCTTTATCTTTGACAGACTGAGCTCATAAGGTGGATAAATCTTACAGCCCACAAGCCGTCAGTAAGGTGGTTAGCTGCCAGTCATGACGCTGAATCCTGCCTCTTGTGTGAGTACAGTGGTCATTCAGCCTGAGATGTTTTTCCTCTTCTGTCTCTTTCTGGCTGACAGCTATTTATTTTCATGGTTTGACCCAGTCATCATGTCTTTGTGGTTGGGTTAGGTGCCCCGCTTTTACTGCTGTGAAGATCTCTAACTTTGTGTAGAACACACTTCACTTTATTTATCTATTTGCATAACTATCTCTTCTCTCTTCATCATCCACAGATTCTTTGAAGATGGCAGTTGCTGTGACTTATTCACGTTGGCATCCTTGGCCTCCTTCAGTGCCTAGGATGTAGTAAATAGTCGATGAAAGCTTAATTGAATAAACAAATATGCAAATTTCTTGGCACATAGCAGGGGCTTCATAAATGGTTGTTGAATGAAAATAAATGTGGCAGGAGACATACATATGTATTACACCTTTGTTCCTCCCAGTCTTAACATATGTGAGACCATCAAGTGAGATTAATTACCCCTCAGCATTTTCTGTTATGCAGACATCCAAGATCATCCTGTAGGAGTGACCTCACTGGACCTGGGGCTTCAGAATTTCCTGTCTCTTGACATTAAACCCTTAAATAAATTCTCAGTAAGTATTTGTCAGCTAACTTCTGCATTGACCAGTATGTTGAGAACTGTACAGAATTCAGTGTTTCTACATCTCCAGCTCTTCCTCTGAACAAGAGTTTGCTTCACCCTCTCCCTTTCCGCTCTCTACTCTCTTCCATCTCAAGGAGGACACAGTCTGTCTACCTGAGGTCACTAACATTTCATCATTTAGGGT